GAATACGTTGCAGTTTTCAGTTCGTGTAATTAGGTAATACGATTACAGGTTTAAGAATATAAAAATTATTACATTTTAGATTTTAATTATAGATATTCTCATAGTGTATAGATAAATATTTCATTTTAACAATTTACTGTACCTTTTTTCTTTTTTATACTTCTGTATTAGATAACTCATCGAGTCAGTCATATGATCTAGTGTACTTTGGATCAGTACAGTTCTTATTCAGTGGTTTTTTCTCAATGATATTTTAGTAGTTTATCGTTTAATTTGATAATGAATCAAACCATGAAATTAGTAATTATGTTTTGTTTGTTATTTTTACTGAACATTATACCTAGTAAGCATACAGTATTACTTATTTTCATAATCAGAATTAAATAGACTGTCTTGAATAACAATATCTAAAATATGCTATACAAAACCTCTTCACTATCAATCCAATTTATGTAGTGTAGATTAGGAAGTTAGTAATTTGAATATAAATTTAGTCATACAACTCTGCCATAAAGACCTTATATTATACTCCATATCTTGAACATATGTTTTGAAGATAAAATATGTAGACCGATTGATTACAATTCGTTAACCAATATCGTATTGTATAAAGGTTAGTCAGTCAAACCTTGTCGATTAACTTGTAATTTATCCGCCAGTCTGAATGACTTGAAATCACATGCGCTGTGTTTGAATGTTAAATGGTTGAAGACAATCTGAATACATGTTCTACGGAGTTCCTACTCATCTTCAAGGAATATGTATAATTAGATTAAACTGATGCCTTTCATGCTAATCGAACCGCATCATTCAGTGCCACAGTAACAGTGGACTAGACAAACACGAATGTGCTCACTACTTAATCCATAATAAATCTCCAAGTGGCTAATCATGATTCGTATAGCTGAGTGCTGACTTCTCTAACTGCAGCACCTGCTGAAGAGGATTCATGTATAACAGAAACTATCAGTTTATTCAGAATAGAAAATATGTTAACTAGCACGAAACTTATTTCCACTCCTTCTTACTGATCACCTAAGGTCAACTAACATGAGAACATAGACACAATTAGAATGGAACTCTGACTCAGTAATCTAATGGTATTATACCCCTCTGCTCTAATCACTGTAAAGGATTACCCGTAGTTATTAGTTAAAGGGTAGCAGAAAGTACTTCAGAAAACGTATATAATAGAATGTTAGACATTTTATTTAATCCTAAAGATGTAAATGAATTCAGTAACTTTATTTATTAAAGCATCATAGTAGGCCTTAACGAACAGTCTTTAGCTGGACCAGAAGAAATCCAAAGCACAAAACATAATCGATCCCAATCACAGGTAAAAGAGGATGATGGGGTTTGAGATCGGCAATCCCATCCCGTGAATATGGATTTTGCTAAAAAGACGCAAACCAGATTATTCAAATTAAACCATTTAAACTCTGTCCTTGGAGATGAAGCAAGAATTATAATGCCTCATGATGAAAGCGGAAATTCTTCGGAAGTAACGAAGCTGATGCCCCTTCTAACAACCAGAGCAACAATTTTTATAGGTACATGGAACGTCCGGACAATGTGGGAGACCGGGAAGATCGGTCAAATGACAACGGAAGTGAGGAGATACAACTCGACAGTGCTCGGAATAAGTGTGACCCACTGGATCCAAGCTGGATAGTAAAGGCTAGATACGGGAGAGATGCTTCTGTGTTCCGGTCACGAAGAAGAAGATTCCACACACTCAGGGAGTTGCTTTGATGATGTCCATAGGGGCACATAATGTACTCACAGGATGGGAATCTCGATGGACCCAGAATCATCAAAGCAAATTTCAAAACAAAAAAGGAGATGCCAATTAATTTTGTCCGATGTTATGCACCCATCAATCATAAAACGACGACAATAATGATCACTTCTATGTGAGGCTGCAGTCAGTCATCGCGAAGTTCCAAATAAATGACCTCACCATCCTGATGGGTGATTTAAACTTCGAACTCGGAATGGACAATACCGGGTATGAAAATATCATGGGACGACATGGACTGGGAGAGAAAAGCGTAAATGGAGAGTGATTTGTAAATCTATGTGCATTCAACAAATTGGTCATAGGCGGCACAATATTCCCACACAAACGCTCACACAAAACCACATGGATCTCACTGGACCACACCACGGAGAACCAGATAGATCATATTTGTATCAATAAAAACTTCAGAGAGACAATGGAAGATGTGAGAACCAGAGGAGGAGCTGACATAGCCTCAGATCACCACCTGGCTGTGGCCAAGATGAAACCGAGGCTAAAGAAACACTGGACAGCTGGGTCGACAGCAATACTAAGATTCAATACAGCCTTCCTTCGAGATACTAACAAACTCAACGAACTCAAGATAATTCTTAACAACAGGTTCCGAGCCTTACGGGATATACTGAAAGAAGGAGAAACTACTGAGGAGGAAAACTGGAAAGGGATCAAAGAAGCAATAACTTCAACATGTCAAGAGGTTTCAGGCCGCAACAAGCATCACCAAGTGGAATGGATCTCTATGGAAACCCTGTACTAGATTCAAGCAAGCAATGCCACGAAGATGACAATTGACAACAGTCGAACAAAAACAGAGAAAGTCAAGGCACAAGTTCACTACACAGAAGAAAACAAGCAAGTGAAGAGGAGCATTAGAGCTGACAAGCAGAAATATGTGAAAGATCTAGCAACGACAGCGCAAAACGCTGCAAGGGAAGGAAATACGAAGCAACTATATGACACAACGAAGAAACTGGTAGGGAAATATGGTAAACCAGAGAGACCGGTCAAGGAAAAAAGGGCAAGACAATCACTGAGATTCAAGAACAGAGGAACAGATGAGAAGATTTCTTCGACGAACTCTTGAATAGATTAGCTCCATTGAATCTATCGGTTATCGAAGCAGCACACACAGACCTTCCTATGGATGTCACTCCACCAAGGATTAAAAATCAGTATGACCATCAGACAAATCTTTAGTGGTAAAGTAGTAGGACCTGACAATGTACCAGCTGAAACATTGAGGTCAGACACAGAGGTAACTACAAATATTCTTCACGTTCTATTCAGGAAGATTAGGGAGGAAGAACAAGTGCCGAAGGACTGAAAAGAAGAATACCTCATAAAAATACCAAAGGAAGGAGATCTGAGCAAATATTCGAACTAGAGAGGAATCACAGTACCACCGGTACGAGGGGATGTTTTCAACAGAGTGTTGCTGAACCTCATGACAGACTGAGTAGACTCCCATTGTTGACACCAGCAAGCTGGATTCCGTAAGGATCGGTCGTGCATAGATCAAATCACGACACTACGGATCATCGTTGAACAATCACTTGAGTGGAACTCGTCACTATACATCAACTTCATTCATTACGAGAAGGCGTTTGACAATGTGGATAGAAGAATCTTGTGCAAACTTCATCGACACTATGGAGTGGGTAGCTGGGAAGATTGCCAACATTATCCGGAGCTCGTACGACGGACTCTAGTGCAAAATAGTGCATGGAGGATAGCTGACGGATGCATTGCAAATGAGGACCGGAGTCAGACAAGGCTGTCTACTCTCCCCCTTCCTCTTTCTTCTGGTGGTCGACTGGATTATGAGGACCTCTACATCTGAGGGAAAGCACGGAATACAATGGACAAGTTGGATATAACTAGACGATTTTAACTTCGCACATGACTTAACCTTTCTAGCCCAAACACACAAAAAAATGCGGATGAAGACAACTAGTGTAACAGCAGTCAATGCATCATTAGACCTCAACAAACACAAGGGAAAAGGCAAGATCCTGAAATACAATACGGATAACACTTACTCAATCACACTTGTTGAAGAAGCTCTGGAAGATGTGGAGTCTTTCACGTGCCTGAATGGCAGCATCATCAACGAACGAGGAGGATCTGATGGAGGCGTAAAGATGAGGTTATTAACACCATTGTATGTCTGCTCAGTGGTCTAGAGTTTAAGCGATCGCACGCAAGATCGATAGGTCCTGGGTACGAATCTGGAGAGGCTAGATCTTGGATCCGCATTACTGAGGAGTCTCATAATAGGATGAAATGGCCGTCCAGTGCTTCCATGTTTTCCATGGTGGTCTAGGTTCAATTGACTCATGATCTCAACTATTGTAGACAAATATATATTTGGATTAATTACTCATTTACGAAGTGTTTTCAGCCTATAATGAATTTATTAACATAAAAATTTTAATGAATTTAATACAGAAAGTATTTGTATTATGTTAGTTTATTCCATTTGACATTTAAATAGTTAGCTTTGTAATGATATGTCAGTAAAACCCATATACATTACGCAATATGTAGAATAATATGAATGAGGTCAGATATAATAGATAGGGGTGGATTCTGAATAAATTTCTCAAAATGATTAGCAAGTGTAATAATAATAATGACAATGGTGAGATGTGTGGATAAGTTTAGGACATAAAAATGAACATTAATCAAATTACGTCATCATATTATAAAATTAATTATTAATTAGTTGGCCTCGAAGTTGGCCAGGGTAAAAGGAGAGGCTGAACATATTTCATTTGGATGTGAAGCTCTGGTTTTTTGATCCGAATATCAATTGCTTCAGCCGTCTGCAGGATTCTCAGTCTGACTGAATTAAATCGATTGCTGTTAATATGACATATTATTGTGAAAGATTGCTCAAATAATTCACTAGAAAGTAATATACCGAATATTGTTTTAATGAGGTCAACTAAATGACAAAACTATAATTTATTTTACAATTCAAAAATATATAACCAATCATTTTTAATTGTTAATCAAATTACAATTTACTCGTGACTGAAATGCATTTATTCAATAATACTAAACGAATGAGGTGCACTTTAAAGTCTATGCTAATATTGACTATAAATAAAATAAACTTTAATTGACAAAATACTACTAAATTAGATATAAACTTTGATTTACATCTTGACAAATACTTCTTGTACATAATGCAATGTTAATTTTCTTTTTGAAAATACCGTCAAAAAGATTGTTCAGTCATATTATAATCAAAAGTATAGGAATAGGAAGTTTCTTGATTATATTATTGCGTACATTATATTATCTGTCAATTCCACCTGAGATACACATATATAATTCAAACCATATCCAAATAAAACGATACAATGCCAGTCATGTTTGTGAATATCTTTTCAGGAACTCTACTATGAATCATAGTCATGAAATTTTTGACAGTAATCAATCGTTGTGGAATGACGAAAATTTCAGTTTATCAAATCCATACAGTTGCAAACAGTTTAAGTTGTTCTATGGTTATACTGTTAATTTGTCAAAAGAAGAAGAACAATTTCCACTGGCATTCAGTATAGCTATACATCAAAGCAATAAACAAGTATCTCGTCTCCTTCGCTTGATTTACAGACCACATAATTTATATTGCATTCATGTAGATTCGAAATCTCCGCAAACATTACATGATGAAGTTTTAAATTCTGCTAAATGTTTCGGTCCTAACGTCATAGTGGTTAATAGATCAGAAAGTGTAAATGTTCAATGGGGTTATTTTTCCATACTTGAAGTGTTTCTTTTATGTGCGGATAAATTATTAAATAATACTGACTACATGTGGAAATACATTCTAAATCTAAGTGGACAAGAACTGCCTTTAAGGACAAACTGGGAGTTGGTTGCAGCATTGAAAGCCGTAAATGGTTCGAATGTTGTAGAAGGTCTAGGCCCTCGGTTTAACCGTGATAGATGGCCTAATAAGAAATTTGAATTTCCTGTAAGTTAAATATGATTTTATCACAACACTTTTTCACAATCAAGAATAAATTATTAATTTAAGCGAACTTTTCAGTATTTTTTTATGTTTTTTTATAATTAACAGTATAAAGGTTGTGGAGATTATTAAGGTTTCGATTGAGATCATGAACCGATTGATTTTAGACCAAAGTTGGAAACCTGGAAGCACTGGACGACCTTTATAGTCTTATTATGGGACTCCTCAGCATCGCACATCCACGATCCCGCCCGCAGGACTCGAACCCAGGGCCTTCAGTCTCGCGCGCAAACGCCTAACCTACTGGACAACTGATCCGGCATTTAATGATGTTAGTGTCTAACATCAACCAATCCACCGAATTGCCCGATCATCTGCCATTGTACTGAGGTAGATACCTGTCTCTACCCGACACGGATTAGCTCCACTGGTCACTGCTTCTCACTAAAACTTCGAGAATTCCCTCACGAAGCTAGTCACTAGTGAGCACATGTTAATTATCAGTATAGGGGTTGTGGAGATTGTTAAGTTTTTATGTTTTCTAAGTTTTTTAAGTTTTATCGATGTTATTTGAAGAATTTGAAAAAGCGATTTATACAAGAAATTTTAAATCAAAGAAAAACAGTATGATATAATACAAATATGAAATAATAATCCATAAGTTAGCAACTAAATAAGCTAGAAGTAAACATGTTAATACTTTCTTTAGGATTTGAGATTCACAATGAAAAATTAATGAAACGTAAACGTTGTTTAGATAATACTTTTTATAGTGATTCATTTGTTAGCTCATTCAAGTCAAGAAAATAACCATAATTTTGAAATTATTCGTTTAAGACAAATACTATCAAAAAATTTTGGAAAGTCATAATTGGAATTTTTTGCTGAAATCATGAATCGATCAAAGAAATACGACCTTTGAAAACCTGGAAATACTGGACAGTCATTTTGTCCCAATATGGAACTCCTGAAGGGTACACATATTCAACCCAGAATGTCGGAATAGAATCCAGGACCTTAGGTCTCATGCACAAACACTTGATCTCTAGACCACTGAGTTGGCATCTAAAGGTATTAATACTTAACTTCGACCAATCCATAATATTGCGTGACCATTTTCCATTGTCGTCGGTGGGTAACTGTTTCACACTCGACACAGTTTAATAGTGCAAAACATTATAGTGGGTTAAGAGAGATATGAAAAGAATTTGAAACTTGAAGATGTTTTATCTGAACTGTATGGTTTAATTTCAAAATTTTTATTATTATCGTAAGTAGCATCATCAAGCAAAGGAAGTGTTTACTGAGCAGCAGTTCGTTCCGTCCTACTTTATGGCAGTGAAACATGGCCAGCAAGAGTAGAGGACATTCATAGGTTACTAGTATTCGACCATAGATGTCTTCGAAGCATTGCTCGTATATCCTGGGACCACCGAGTAAGTAACTCAGTTGTTAGAAAACGGGTACTAGGTAAGGATGGCAAATCAATTGAGATGGCTGGGACATGTGTTACGTATGCCCGACCGTCGACTGCCCCGACGTGCGATTTTTTCTGGTGTAGGATTAGGTTGGAAGAAAGCTAGGGGCGGGCAAACCAAAACATGACACAAATCCATGAAGTCACTGACAAGTGGACTGAGTCATGTTGGTAAGTGCAGACTACCTGGTTGGGGTCCGCGAGATGATAGCAACCGATGGTTAGAGACTTTGAATGACATGGTTCAAAATCGTTTGCAATGGAGCAGGTGCATCTACTCTGTGTTCTCTCAAACTCCAATTTTCTGAATACTTTATGTGCTCTATTTTCTTTCCAAATTTATTCTACTCGATTATACTCCTTGAATAATATCATCAAACCCTAATGTTTCTGATTACTACTTATACTTTCACTACCTCTACCACTACGGGATTTGAATCGATAACTGCATCTCTGTGCTAACGTGGTATGGCAACTCGAACTGATGTACGTACGTATGAAGTTCCACGTTGTTACTGACTGACTGAGCATCATCGGTGACTTATTCATGTGCGAGAATGACGATGAAACAGCTTCATTTAAACAATCAGTGTTGATTGGTCGTCCCTTTTCTAATGAATTATACTATCATATATATGGCTTACAATAACTTTCATATTAAGATTACAATGCAAAATAAATCATTTTTCCTATAATGAGGAAATAATCGACTCAATTAAAATGAGCTAAATGTTTGTTTTTATGCCTTCAAATTATCTAAAATTATCGATTTATAACTGTATTCGTGTGATGTATTATAAGGAAAGAATGATTAAAGCAGACAAAATGATTGGTCTTATAACTACTACCATCTGATTATGTACTTATTCTGTTACTATGCTAGTAAATAATTAGCTTAATTGACCTATTACTCGTGTTTATAACAGTTTACATTTTCACAGTAATATTACAAACCTTAAGCACTAATTCTTTATTAGAATATATTTTGAAAAACAAATACTTTAACTTTAAGAAATGATTAATTTACAGATTATACACTTTTCAATCCTTTCAACTGGATTTTTATTATTATTCAGTTTATTTTAAAATTTCGTTTGATTAGACTTCTAGTTATTTGAGTTTAGAACTTGAACCCAGAAAACTTTCAGAATTTCAATAATGTCTATCATATTATCTCAATAGGACAAAATACTTAATTAGAAATCACCTTATCACTCATTCAACATACCAACTCAAAGGAAAGTCAAAAACGGTCAGACTATAATGTATGGTGACATTTGAGCAACACTAATAGAGACCTGGATAATGTCCATCTACATACTACGGCCAAATGAAGGTTATAAACAGATGTAAAGAATTAAGATTAATACTCACAGTTGATAGTTAAAGTTAGGAATTAGATATAGGGTTTTCATAACAAACTGACATCAGCTATAATACCAAAACTCTATTTAGTCAAATGAATGAATGAATTTCGCACCGAAACTCGAGACTTGCTATCGTGAATCTAATTGGTTTGTCCATAAATTAAATTTTATAATTTAATTCTGAAAACTTTTATTACTTCGACTTGCATAATGATCATAGTCATACAAAATTGTTAGTGTCCAGTTAGAAATACGAAATCTTTACAAAAATCAACATAAGTTTAAATTCATAATCTAGAATTTCAAATAACAAGAATGTCTTAAAACAAATTTCCAAATGAATCCCATTCATGTAATTCAGTTGAATTATTCTATGGAAAAATTCTCTTGATCAAAGTAGTAGATTAATTTATAATCAATTATGCTAATTTAATAATAGAAAAGCATCAACAAAATTACAATCAGATTCTTTTTTTTTATGATTATTCAACATTAACAATATAGATATTCAATCTTCAATTAAAAATGAATCAATTTTAATGTTCACATTTTGATTGAATATGATTTCTTTTTTTTTTCTTTGTTTTTTTGTTCGTTTAGTTTATAGTGCAATTTTATTGTATTGTATTGATTAATTTAGTATGTTTATTCATTTATAAAACAACTGTTCAGTTCAACCATTTCCTTAACTAATAATGGTTGACTATAATTCAAATAAGAATCAATCAGTATATTTTTAAAGAAAAATTGGTCGTTAGCAATTAAATCTTTCAAGATTTTATAGTTGAATTCATGAGAAAATTGAAGTTAGACCACCATGAAAAAACTGGAAGTACTGAATAACCGTTTCGTCCTATTGTGGGACTCCTAAGCAATGGGCACCCATCATTCCGACCCGTGAAATTTGAACACATGATAAAATTAGCTGAAATTAAAACGGAAGTGATCTGTAGTATCTTGTTATCAAAGTATTATGATTTCTCTTATTGTGAACCAACTACTCTTATTGCTTAATATTCATGAACACTATTTCTCTTGACAAGTAACCAAGTCAGAATACGGTTGAACAGGAAAGTAATTATTTTCCAAACAACAAGATTGGATAGAAGCAGGAATCATAATATGAAAAACGCTTGTATACTTATAATTTTTACATAAGAAGATTCTACAGTCTTCTCCAAGTATTGATTAGTGCTGATTGGTTATGAAACAGCTAATCAGCGTGCCCCCTCCCAATACAGTCCTGCATGGAACATTTCTGAATCTAATTTATATCCTGATAACACGAAGTGAGATCAATAGTTATCGCTGTGATCACAAGTATAATAAATATATATTTCACTGGTTGAAATCATGAATCCATTGAAGCTAGACCACCATGGAAAACCTAGAAGCACTGGACGGCCGTTTCGTCCTAGTATAGGACTCCTCAGCAGTGCGCATCCACGATCCCGCCCCTCGCGAGATTCGAACCCAGGACCTATCAGTCTCGCGCCAGGCGCTTAACCAACTAGACCACTGAGCCGCACTGCTGAGGAGTCCCATACTAGGACGAAACGGCCGTCCAGTGCTTCCAGGTTTTCCAAGGTGGTCTAGCTTCAATGGATTCATGATTTCAACCAGTGAAATTTCTAAAATCTCCACACAATCCCTTCTGATAAATATATATTTACTCATTACTGATATGTCGACAAAACATGTATGGCTATAATGGTTGTCTTAGTCTTATAAATCAATTTCAATATCCTATTTTCATTAAATTGGATTGATATCCTTTGTAATTCAAACTTAACTTGTCTTCCTGATAAAGACTATACACTATGCTATATATAAATGTTCATATATATATATATATATATATATATATATATATATATATATATATATATATATATATATATATATATATATATATATATATATATATATATATATATATATTACTTTGAACTCAATGAATATTGACAGTCAATTTATTTCAAATTTTTTCCGAACATATTTACTTACAACTAAAAATATAATTTAGTCAAACGGAATACTTTTTTCTCGCTTAAATCTCTAAGCAGTAAAACGGAACGCAGCTACCTAGTGGTGACCGTTAAATTTTAAATGGTTTATAAGATTAGTTATCTGCTATTCACACTGATAAATGGTTGTCAAGTATTAAAGAGTTTATTATGTAATAGTAGCAATAGAAATATATGTTGACGCATATACCATTGGTATATTATTTCAAGTAGATATCCTGCTTTAGTTACAAAATACCACCATACTTCGTACGTGTAAAACGAATTTAAGGTCAAGAAAAGTCATAAATTAAGACTGTTTGACAAGTTTGTTCTTCTAGTTTTGTTTTTACAATAGAAGATTATTATATATAAAATTAGAGCCAAAGTAAGCATCTGTTTATCAGCAATATTATCATCAAGATCACTAAAAATTAAACTGTTATAAAATGAATGCATTTTATCACGTCCTTGAAAGTTCAGTTGACTGAAGTATGTGAGCAACATAATGCAAACTTGTATAAACTCGGAGTTAATTAATACATGCTGTTTTGGAAATACTGAAAACAACACATTGACAGTCGTATGAGTTCCTGTTTCAAAGCAATTATATTGACACCATCAATCAAGTTATCACTTAATATTTAATCTCTAAAATTACACTTAATGGCATATTTTTAGAGTTTAAGTATTAGACCTTTGTTTTCAATGATTTTGATTTCTAGCTTTGTGAAATTCAACTTTTCGCCTGAATTCAAAGTTAGCTGTTCTCAGTGCTCAGTATTGGTTCTTCCAGATTTTGAAGGAAATTCGAGAAAGTAGATCCATTAACAAATATTAGCCTTTTAAACTTTTTCTTATAAATATCATGAAATAAACAGGAATCTTACCTATGTAACGTCGTTCCATATACTAGATTTTAAAACTAGATATATCGTCTTTAGATGTAACACCAATTCACAAAATATCCAACATATGAAAAGTAGGTTCAAGTGCGACATTACGTTAAATAATTGTTAGCACTGCTTGAAATAGTATTAAAATATCGATCTCAGTTTCCTTTTGAAGTGTGCTTTATAAGTTCGTAAACACAGGTGGTTGAATCCTATCATATATATATTCTCACAAGCTACATGGTAGAAGAATTGTATTTCTATTATTATTGCTACTTGTATATTAAATAATAACAATTTTTGTACGAAAAATTGACTGACGCGTCTCTGAATAAAAATTTCAAATGGACAATGTCGAAACGGATTATTAATAATATTTAACGACTCAATAACTTGAATCGTAAGCATAAGGTTATCTTACATTATACCTGATATGACAGTTGAATTTCTCCACTAAAGCTTCACAAGATTCGACAATTTGTGTTACACACAAAAATTATTTAGAATTGTTTTCAATTCAAACTTCATCTACTAGTGATTTAACTTGATTATCTTTAGATTGGAATAATGATGCTTTTCATAACCATCGAGTTTAAAGTAACACTCAACGATTTAATTCAGCTATTATGGAATGTAAAAACTGAGAAGTTATTATCAGTTTTCCAATAGTCAAGTAAATATACTGAAGTTTACCACAATTCTCAATTTAACAATAATAAATATACAGAGTATTGATGACATAAAACTGATTCAATATTAACCTTTTGCTTTTTTCTGATATAAAATTTCTTTTTTTTCTCATCAAGTATTTGTTTTATATTACAATTTCCAATATATACCAATGAACTAATTTCCAAAAAAAAATCAAACCGTAAACAAATCATCCGAATCCTTACAAAAAAAATTAGTAAATTCATTCGAGAATATCATATGTATATTCGAAAAGTTAATACCTATTAAATTCTTAATAAAATAACTACAATGTGATCCATTCAATATTATTGTAGTGCTTAATTGTTTTAACCATATTACTTAAATCTAACAGTTTATTTGTAATTCCTTTTCATTAAGGTGTAATTACATTTTAAATGAATACCCACTGTATATAATTACGAATTGATGTCAATTATTTAATAATTTACTTTCTTATCTTTTTCTATATAGATTGTTTGGAATAAAGGAAGTTTCTATATGGCATTAAGACGAGAATTAATACAATTTTATAAAACTGATTTAAAGTCACAAATAATACTTGATGCAATCAAAGCTGAAAAACATTTACGAAAACATCCAGATGAATTATATTTTCCTACTTTAAATTATAATCCTCAATTCGGTGCACCTGGTGCTTGTATAAATAATAATAATAATTCATCATCTCCATTTATAGCACGTTATGTAATTTGGGGCATGAAAAAATGTGTTAGTCAATACACTCGTCGAAGTGTATGTATAATTGGTAAAGCTCATCTACCGTTTATACCATCACGAATGGAATTTTTTGCAAACAAATTTCATGAAAATTTTCAACCAATTGCATATGATTGTATAGAATATTATATTATGAATAAAGTAATCAAAGAAATGCAAACAAACCAATTAGATCCAAATTTTAATGTAACATTTTATTCTAGACTGCATTGTTCTAGTAATCATATTTAATATTGAATCATTGATTTCTATTCATCAATATTTGTTCCTATAAAGTTCAATTATCTACAAATATATCAAATATGTCATTTCTTATTCTTGTTTAACCAATGATCTCGATAATGTAATAGGACAAAGATTATCAGAACCATGTGATATATGAGCGCAATACATGTTGAACAAACTTATTACATTATTGAAATTTATCAAAGGGACTAATTGCTTTAACCAATGATTACTTTATTTTGGGTAAATTTGTATAATTTTTGTAACTAAGATGAATCATACAGGTGATATATTGAATAATCAAGACATTTACTGTACAGTTAAATATTTAATGCTTTGTTTAAACATATCATATTAATACAATACAATTTCATACTGCATATTTCGAATATGAGTCTTGTCGAAGTTCTAAACTTACTGAGATTAGTACTATTTCGTTACATTATTTCAAATTCACAGATGACTTACTATCTAAGAACTTAATTATAGCTAGTAAGCTATTATTTAAAAGAAATTTTTAGTAAATAAGAGCTTTCCGTAGTAAATGTATGACATAGAATAAAATGTTATTATGCTTATTTTTAGGATGAATATAACTCATGCACCAAATATATACCACTGCACTTAGTTGTAAGTTACGCTAGGAATTGGTCAGTGCCCTAAACTAAAATGAATGGAATGGAGTTCGGACCTGGTTGAAAGATGAGTGCGTCAACTGCTAACCCACCAACTTAAAATACTTCTTTAAAAAGTTTTTAGCAACAAAAATCCATGTAAATAACTTTATAAATATAAAAGTAGTCACTTTTATTTCCAGTATTGTGATGAACATAATCTTTATGTTAGTTATGCTATTTGCTCAAATCTACCGCTAATCTTTTTATTCTTTTTTTATTGCAAAAATTATTTTATTTACAGACATTTTATATATATTTTTACATTATCATGCTAATTAAAAAGCCATGTTATTTCTAGCTTCTTGAAAACACTTTTTCAAGTATTTTGTATATGTAAGGTATTTAATGTAAGGTTATGAGTTGAATAAGTTGTGCTTAAATGGTTTCATTATTAAAGGCAGCTTCAAATATAAACAATTAATTTTACCAGGATAGAAAAAATAGGATACATTAATGAATAATTTAGTAAGTAACGTCCTTAAATCTTAATTTCAGTTCATACTAGAAAGTAAATAATAAAAATTTTCGTTAAGATTTATCGTGTGTTTTGAGCGGAACCTCATGCAATTGTAAGAGTATATTCTCTAAAAAAACTATGATTACTACAGTAGACGTATTTATTAACTCTAAGAACAAAATAGTTTCTTTTGGGATGATATTTGGGGAATAACTCTGAAATTATCGAATCATATACATTAAAATCAACAATCTCTGTAACAGATTAACACTGGATATTTCATATGTTTTAAAGTCATTATCATCCACTAGGATTCTAACTCTTTCACCTTACTGCAGATGAATAGCTTAAAACCATAAGATTCAAACTAACACAATAAATTCGTTATTTGGAAGTGATTTTATACCCTGTGGACAATATACTTGCGAATAGAAACAAGCGAAAAAGAAATTAACAGTGGAACATATGAGCAAACACGTTCTAGAAAGTTACTGTTAAAAATGTTAATTAAATGCGCTATAAATGCCGCTACTTTGTAAACAGAAACAGTTATCTGCATTTGCTGTATTATCACATGCTTACTTTGCTGACAGTAGTAATATTGGATTCATCAATTCAATTCAGAACTTAAAGCCCTTAGATTTAGGGTCGTTGATAAAACCTATCAAAATATGTACTAGGAATTTTGATCACTATGGGTTTTAAATAAATGATTATCATACACTACAAATCAGTTGTGTTTTAAATTTGTTACCTGTGAGTTTCAAGTGGGAATAAGTGAATCTTCAATATCAGACTGAAATGCTTTGGAAATAAGAGTTTTATTATTGATTTCTGAAAAAAATTCCTTATAAAAATTTGACAGTTTCATCTTGATAAATTACAGATATCAAGATTAGACTGAAATCCTACCTCCAGACCTTCAAGTACAGGTCGATATTGTACTCCTTGAACATTCTTATGGCTATAAGAAGCTATTTCTCAAAGTAACACGCAACTTTAGGTCAAGCTAGTAGTGACTCCGTTAATCTTTCAGTTCAAAGTACCTTCAATATTACAACTCCAAAATAGTTCGGTAAAACCTTTCAATTTCTTTGTGATAATAGACTGACACTTAGTATACGTTGATAAAACAACAGTTTCTATTTACCAAACGACGTTCAAAGACCAAATTCACCGAACAATCTTTGTTATCACACAAAGTCGCCTCACGACATTCAAAATGATATCAAAAGCGTGATAGCCTTATTGAATTTCTGTTAGTATTGACTTGTAAACAGTATCCTTTTGTCGTGCTGTTTACTATTTTCAAGTGACTATCTTTTTGCCTTCCTGCTCATTATATTTAGGTAACGTGACAGGCAGTGTCGCACACTAAGTGATAACACGAGTAGCGCATCAGGTTATTAGTCCATCCGCATGTCCACAGTGAGTATTAAAAAGTATGATTTTTGCCAAATACCTGTCACTAAAACTACTGTTAGCACCATATAACAAACCCAGTGAACCTCTCACAATATGCTTATCAAACTACTTATGAGTAAACAGTGAGGCTGAAACTTAAAAAAGAAGCTAGGTATAGAAAGATGGCAGCTTAGCAAGGATAATGTATGTACTCACTTGTTTGGCAAGTAACCATACGTTCAGGTATAATTACCATCGAAGATGAGTACACCTGTCTTGTATTCCTATGGCACATATACGATGTCCACTAGAAGTGAGCAATCAATTTCGTATATTTCTGTGAAGATGTATCTCTTTTTCTAATGATAATGCCTTTGTGTTTTTTTGTATTTAACATTTCTTCTATTGTTTACCGCATTTATTCACATTTTTTTTCTCTTCTGGTTTATTTGCGTTTATCATCATTATATTGTTTACAATTTCTGAGTTGTGGCCAACTCAGAGATGAAGTTGAATATTGTGACCACTGCTTCGCTTTCGTTTACCTGAACTTCTGGATTTTGGGCGGCTATTGTATTAGTCGTCCCTATTTTGGATTACTCCCGTTTTGGTTAAAATGGCTGGATTTTTTCCTGGTGCAAGAGATATTTGACTTCCTGATTTGTTAAGAAATTTTATTGTTTTAAACAGTTAATGATTCACATTAGAGCCGTTACGATATTTAATACAGACATGTCAAATGAATATAATTGCATATTCATTCTAAAATACGATGTCTAATTTTGCATATGGCTGTTAAATGCACTAGTTTGATTCTATTAGTTTACTTGTACTCATTTGTGTTGTTAAATCGAATACTTTACTTGCAAATTCTTCTAATATATTATAGCAACTATCCTACAACCAATTTCGATTGTGATTCATTTTAGTTAAGCCTTTTTACTAACTTACTTAACAAACAATGTTATTAGAACAGTAGCAATTCACATATTTATTTGTACTGTTATGATCGCTAGATCACACGACAGACTCTAGCTAAAATGTTGATCGCTTAAATATCACGCTATGATTCATTCTCCTCCCCATGTAAATGTGTACTCAAATCCTATTGTTAGCTTTCGCTTTACCTTGCTATGCCCCTATTCGATTTGACTATAAATATACCTCTGTATACGCTCGCACACACATTCGCCTCTCTGCTTCAAATTCACTTGATATGATTATAGCTTTAAGATCTGTGTTATCCGCTAATAGACTGTAGTTGCCGCTTCTCATTGTCTTCTGATTTCAAACACCGTTGAAATTTATATAATAACGATTACAAGGGTGGTTGATTAACGAAGCAAGACCACTACAATATCTATGTTCGCATGTTTGTCTATCTCTCTACTTGTTGATCTTATCCTAATGTTTTACTGGTTTATAAATACTCGGAAAACGTTGAATAACTGACACCATGGACAGTTTGTATTAATTTCAACACAGTGCAAATTAGACCAGTCTAATTCAGTCTTGGATTTATTTTGCTATATAATCTGTTGTCAGTATTGTTTCTATTCCAATACAACTAACGGTGATTTCTAGTGCCAGTGTTATTATAAATCTGATTCAATTTCAAATAAGTCTAGCTTTTGCATTAATCAAATACTACCATTATTCCAGTCTCGTTGTACCCATTCATATCATTCTTAACTTGTTTAATACTACTGTATATGCTGCAGCAATCTGGATGACTCTCTGTCTCCCACTTTGTACGAGCATTTCATGTACTTAAATTAATGGTTGCTCTGGTTGTCAGAAGGGGCATCAGCCGCGTGCCTTCCGAAGGGACTTGGCTTTCACCATGAGGCGTCATAACTCTTCTAAATAAAGACCTAACTCTCAGGACAGAATTAAATGGTTCGAATTATTTTTTCCTGGGTAGCTTTTTTTAGCCAGTTAGTTTCCTATGGGATTGCATTGCTAACCCCATGCCCGACCCTCCTCCTTTATCCGGGCTTGGGACCGGTAGTAGCCCCATAGGGCTTCAGGCGGAGTTACTGTATATACTAGTGTACTCAATTACCAGAGTATACATTCAGGAACATTTTGTTCTGGTCCTTACTTGATTCATTTGTCTTCGGCCATTAATCATGAATGTAATTGGTGATATGTGGTATTTATACTAACTGATAATTCTTCCGTATTTGTGTCCCATGGCCAATAGGAACTACAAATATAGTGCACAGAGTTGTTCTCATCGATTTCTATCTGACCTAACTTGAACCATTTAGGGGATTCTCAGTCAAGACATCAATTTAACTACTTTTAATTATCATATGGACCATATTCCTGAAGTTTTAAGAGCCCCTTTACTCGTTACCAAAAAGTTACGGCCTATTCTTTGTGCTTCGTCGCGTCCTGTTCCCAGCTAATCCTACAAATTTGTTACTACAATCTCAAAAATATGTAAGCTGATGTATTCGAATGAAGATCCTAGGAATACATAAACATCAGATGGAGTGAGTTTCAGTAGCTCAAAAGCACGGCGTAAGTAGGACGCACGATGAACAGATTTGAAGGCAGTTTAGATTACAAACCACATAGCAAAGTGCAAATGGATGATCAAAAGCTATATATACGTTTTGTATAAAGACTTTTCAGTTCCTTACATTAAGCGATCATTCAGCCATTTCATCTTGTTTTACATCAGTTAGTGCAATAACTTGAGAATATGAAATATATGTTACACCACTTGTTCACAAATCATTAGGAATGGAGCTGGTTACTTCATATTACCAAGATATACAGAAAATGGTAGTAGCATGAGAAGAGAATAAAAGACAATCCAAACGAGTTTATTA